AAAAATCCTAGATTTGAACCCAAGCAGGTCGGCCTCAGAACCTGTGTGTTAAACATATGTTAACCACCACACTACATCCTTAGACTGAGAATGTGGGATTCTGGCTATATTCTATTTATATAATATAAATAATAATATGTATATCTTCCCACCCTGCCCAAAGAGCTATAAACTGAGACAGACTGGGATTCTGAAGGCCATGTAGTCTAAGACTGATATTTGGACCCCAAGACAGGACCAGCTATGTAATTCACAGTGCCCCATGCAAAATGAAAATGTGGGGTTCCTTTTTTAAAATTCTTAAGACTGGGATCCCTGGGTGGCGCAGCGGTTTGGCGCCTGCCTTTGGCCCAGGGCGCGATCCTGGAGACCCGGGATCGAGTCCTGAGTCGGGCTCCCGGTGCATGGAGCCTGCTTCTCCCTCTGCCTGTGTCTCTGCCTCTCTCTCTCTCTCTCTCTCTCTCTCTCTCTCTCTGTGACTATCATAAATAATAATAAATAAAAATTAAAAAAAAATTAAAAAATTAAAAAAAAAATAAAATTCTTAAGACTTTCAAGATGGTGACAGCAGGGCATTAAATGAAGTGAGACCCTTCAAAGTATGGGGCCTGCCTGTAAAGCTGGCCTTGCCCTAAGATGACTGGTGCCCAAGGTTCTATGCTTTGCTGATTCAAGAAGGCCATCAAGCCCAAATATTTATCAAGCACCTGCTATGAGCCAGACACTGCTTTAGGCACTTAGGCTCACAGCAGTGAGCACGTCAGGAAAAAAACTGCTGTTCTTGTGGGGCTGATTTCCCAGTAGGGGAGACAGCCAATAAAATAAAGTAAATGAGTAAATCATATGGTCTTTCAGGGGTAAGTGCTAATAGTGAAAACTAAAGTAGAAACCGGCATAGAAAGTAACAGGTTTAGTTTTAAATAGAACCCAAAAAAGCCTCAGTGAGGAGATGGCATTTCTGGATTGGGGGATGGGGCTGTTGGGAGACTGAATGGTGGGTGGGTGGGAGAGAAGACCCTGGGAGTCTCCAGAGAAGAGGGGCTCTGGGAAGAGGATGAGACTGGAGATCCAAGCAGGGCATAGGCTGTAGGTAGGTGGATGGAGATGAAGATCTGTAACGCCCTCCCCCACCCCCCAGCTTTCCCTGGATCTCTTCTACACGGAGGATGAGATCTATGAACTTTCTTACGCCCGAGAACCCCGCTGTCCCAAGAGTCTGGTGAGAACTGGCCCCTGACCTCTGACTACCAGCCCGAGCCCATGCCCTGACTAATTGTACCCCTCTGTCCCTGCCCCAGCCACCCTCCCCCTTCAAGGCGCCCCTGGTGGTGGAGTGGGCCCCTGGCGTGACACCCAAACCCGACAGGGTCACCCTGGGTCGGCATGTGGAGCAGCTGGTGGAGGTAAGGAGGGGACTATGGCCTGGCCACTGGGGTCCAGGAAGGAAGGTATCTGTACAGTCCTGACCCAGAAGAGGAGATCTGAGATCATGAGGATCATGGTTTGGCCTTACTGTCTCCTTCCCATACTCTTCTAAAGTCTGTGTTCAAGAATTATGACCCTGAAGGCCGAGGAACTATCTCTCAGGAGGACTTTGAGCGACTCTCAGGCAACTTCCCCTTTGCCTGCCATGGGCTTCACCCACCCCCCCGCCAGGGGTAAGTACTCCTGACTGCCGGGTCCCCCAAAGATGAGGATACTGGGGCTAGCAGGACTCCTCTGAGTCTGGGAGAAAGGGGCCAGTCATGCTGAGGTGCAATCTCTGCCCCCAGGAATGGCTCCTACAGCCGAGAAGAGCTGACGGGGTACCTGCTCCGGGCCAGCGCCATCTGCTCCAAGCTGGGCCTGGCTTTCCTGCATAGCTTCCATGAGGTCACCTTCCGCAAGCCCACCTTCTGTGACAGCTGCAGTGGCTTTGTGAGCACCTGGCCCCTCTATCAGCCTTAGGCCCCACCTAAGGGCCTGGAGAGTCCCGAGTCCTGACTCCTCACAGCCTGGGTTCAGAGGGCCAGCCCAGCCTTGTAGGGCTCACAGTCCCCAACCCTAGATGATCACCAAATTCCAGAAAATCCCCAGTCTCAAATAATCCCCATATCCCATATAAACCCTAAATGCTGGATATGCCCAAAGTCTAGAATAATGCCCAAATTTCAGATGATCTCCATCCTGGATCGCTGCCAAACTATGGATATCTAAAATCCTATATCATCTACAAACGTGGGTAGATTATCTCCAAACAGAATCAATTTCCAAATCTTTAGACTCCAGATAACTCAAACCCTGGATAATTTTCAAATTCAAGGACTCCTCAAACTCTAGATAATGGACAGATCTCTCAATCTCCAAACCAAGACTAATTCACAAACCTTGGATTACTTCCCAAACCCACTTTCTCACTCACTGCATATTTACAGAGTACCTCCTGTGTGCCAGGTTGTTCTAGACTTGAGGGCTGGGGAGGGGGACGCACAGCAAAAACACAACAGACGCAATCCTTGCCCACAGAATTTATATTTTATTAATTCCAGGATTTCACCTAGATGACTCCCCAAACTTGCAATAACCCCAAATTCTTTTAATCCCCACATTCCCACGTAAGCCTCTAGCTGTGAGAATTTCCCAAGCCAGATGGTTTCCACACTTCCAGAGACCAATCCCACCCCCGCCCACAGCCCTCTCTCCCCTAGCCTACATAACCAATTCTGCTTTCTCTTCCTAGCTCTGGGGCGTCACCAAGCAAGGCTACCGCTGTCGGGGTGAGTGAGGCCTTGGTGGTAGGGAGGGAATCCAGCACCTACAAGCTGGATGAGTGGAGGGGGGCCCAGGCTGGGCCTCTGGCCACTAACTGCTGACCTTTCCCCAGACTGTGGGCTGTGTTGCCATAAACACTGCAGGGACCGTGTGAAGGTTGAGTGTAAGAAGAGGTCGGGGGCCAAGGGTGATGTGAGCCCCCCAGGAGCCCCTGTCCCACCTACCCAAGTTGCCCATGCTAGCTGTGGTAAGACCCAGGGTGTGGCAGTCCTGGGAAGGGGTCTGATACATGGGGATTAAATCCGAGGTCATGAGGCCCTTCCCATCACACCCACATCCCTCTCGTCTATCACCCCCAAAACAGGTTCAGAGGACAATCTCTCCTACACATTATCCCTGGAACCTGAGACAGGGTGCCACCTTTGCCATGCTTGGACCCAGACCGAACCCCCAAACCCTTCCTGGGAACCAGAGACGGTGAGGAGGAACTGCCCCCACCATCAACTGGATACAGGGGAGACCAGGCCATTTGCTTGGGGGAACCCAAGCCAATGTGGGGAAGCATAGGAAAGTAAAAAGGGGCAAGAGTTCTCAGTTGCTTGGGCAGTTAGATAGAAAAATAAAACTTTCGATACGCTGGGGTGGGAGGACAGGGTAGCCACGAGTAGAACAGAAAAAGGATTTTAAGGAGGAAAAAGGAAAAAGAGAATAGCAAGGATAAAGCCACATACCTCAGGAGCTATCATTAGTGTCAGTGGAGGAAATTTCACTATTCAAAGGTAGAGCCCTTCCGATTGAACACCCACCAGAGTTTTCATTCATCTACTACACAAAGTCTGGGTGAGGCTCTGCCCCTGTCAGCGGCCAAGCTCCTAGACACCACACTCTCCCCAGGTGACCCGGTGTCTTTCTCCTTCCAGGTCCCCCTCCCAAAGACGGGCTCACCGCCTGCCCAATCCTCCAAACTGAATTCCTAGGACTGCACCCGCCTTGGGTCTGTTCTCTCTCACCTCCTCAGAGTCAGTCCCAAGTCGTTATTCCACCGCCAGCAGGACCCCTGAAGGCACGGCTTTGTCCCATCCACACCACCTTCGGTGAAGAGTTCATCATCTCTTACCCGGAAAGTTATTTTTTTCTTTTGCATCAGAGTGGCTACAACCTGTACTCCATCTTCCTGCACTTTGTATCTATGCGATTTCACACTGGATTATGTCTAGACTTAAGTATCATCTCTCCAACTCCTTACATCTCCATTTTATAGATGAGGAAGCCGAGGCCCAGGGAGGTTTAGCTGCTCTCCAAGGTGGCAGAGCGCCTAAGTGTTGGAGGCAGAACTCAAATCCAGGTCTTCTGTCTGCCTCTAAAACGGACGCTCCTTACCAATACGCTACACTGACAGTCAGCATGGGTCAGGACGGGGAGGGGATAGGCTGGGCAGCTATATTCCTAACTCTAGGGTTCCAGAGGCAGGAGAGAAGGCTAGAGTAGAGGTGGAACAGGGAGCCTGTGAACACCTGAGTCCCTCCCCTGCTCGGAGTAATCCATGCCTCCCTCTCAATCAGGGGAAAAGCCAGAGTCCTCACTATGGCCTACCTCCCACAATCTGTTTCCGTCCCCTCTCTGACCTCACCTACCACCCCTTACTCATCCTGCTTAAGCAACACTGGCCTCTATGGTCCCTGAACATGCCAAAAATATTCCTACCTCAGGGCCTTTGCACCGGCAGTTCCCTCTGCCTGGAATGCTCTTCCACAGGCCCACATGGCTCCATCTTTGGGACTTAGGTCTAATGTCGCTTTCTGAGTGAGGCCCCTCTGACCATATTCAAAGTTGCAATCCAGCCCCAGTCCTGCTCCTGGCTTCCTTCTTTGTTTTTCTCCATAGCCCTTTACCCATCTAACAAACTGTACTTTTTACCTATTTATCTTGTTGAATGTCTGCTCCTCTTCACACTGGAAATTGTCAACTCCAGAAGAACAGGAGTTTTTATAATCTATGTTTTTCACTGCCGTATCCCTAGCACCCAGAACAGGGATGGCACTTGGTGCGTACCTGAGAACTGTTTGTCCGATGCCTGCATGTCTCCTTCCCCATGTCCCCAGGAAGGGAAAGATGTGTTGCTAAAGAGCAGAGGACTGTAAGGGTCAGAGCAACAGGGGCCTGTTAAGACCCAGGGAACAAAGCTGTCCCTGCCTGTCCTCAAACCTGAGCACCCCTGACCTGGCCCCCACAGAGATAGGTCCTACAGCTGTCATAAATTAAATTTATTTTCCAAAGAACATGGTCTTTGTTGTTGAGTGATAGACTGGGGGGTGGTGGTGATGGTAGGCATTTGGGACCTTAGGAACAGGGGACGTGGGGCCTGGGAGCCAGATGCCAAGAGAAACTCAAAGCGATTCCCCAAGGATTACCAATGGCATCAAGCATGTCACAGAGGACCCCTCCCCCCACCCAACCACCAGTCCCTCTTTACTTCTTCTTCTTCTTCTTGCGACCCCAGTTCTGGCGGCCTGCCTTCCGCCCACCACCATCCTCTCTTCTGCTCTGCCAGGTGGGCATGGGAGCCTCCAGTTCATTTGGACGGCCCCCCCGGTCTGGCACGTTGCCCATAAGCACCTGGGAGTTGATCAGACTTGAGTGTCAGGGAAAAAAATGAACAAGGGGGCCAGAGAGCCAAGTCTGAAGGCCAAGGCTGTGGAGGCCTTTCCCCACTCCCAGGTGCCCACCTTGTTGATGGCACAGCAGGTCCCTCGGCGGACAGCCTTGCTGGTGGCTGGGATAAGACGAGACAGGTCCTCTCGGGCAGCCAGGACATGTGCGATGGAGACATTTGATTCTGGGGTCAGAGCCTCTCGAATTGGGATCAGCACTGCCTTCATGGCTTCTCCTTGGGCCTGGGGAGAGAGGCACTCCCAGCTCAGAGCTGAGAATTGTAGAATGCCCTGGAATTCTAGAGCCCCACACCTTACACGATCCTAAAAACCTGCTCTCAGGTAATATTCCTGGCCCTCACTCTTCCTCCTTGTAGTGGGAGCCCCTACAGCAGGGCCTCCCTGGTCCTGCCAGGGTCTTTTGCCCACACCTCTGCCCTATCACTCCAGTGGAAAGAAGATGTCGTGAGGTCCAGGCGCTTCAGGAGCAGGCAGCGGCGAGAGCAGTACTGATCTCCCAGCCTTTGGCACAGAGACTCCAATGCCTCCTAGGAAAAAGGTCTCAGTCACACCCAGGGTCTCCCCTCGCTCCCATCTCCGGGTGAGCATGCTCTTCAAGTACAGTGGTACACAGTCTTACCCATCTGGGGGCATCCAGTGGGGAGCTGAGGAGGGGCTGCAGGAACCCTGGGGGCAGGGAAGGCAGCAGCTCAGAGATCTGATGGGAGAAGGTAGTCTGAGGTTGACGGGGCAGAAACCAGATAGACTCTCCGTGGATTCCTGTTCCCCCTGGCCCCAAGGACCCAGGCCTTGGAATCAAGAACGGTGGCCATGGCTCTTGAAAAACATCCCCCGGGGCATCCCGGGTGGCTCAGAGGTTTGGCGCAGCCTTTCAGCCGAGGGTGTGATCCTGGAAACCTGGGATCGAGTCCTGCGTCAGGCTCCCTGCATGGAGCCTGCTTCTCCTTCTGTCTGTGTCTCTGCCTCTCTCTCTCTCTGTGTCTCTCATGAATAAATAAATAAAATCTTAAAAAAAAAAAAAGAAAAAGAAAGAAAAACATCCCCGTGGCTGGAGCACTCCTGCCAGAACCACTTTTTTTTTTAAAGATTTTATTTATTCATGAGAGACACAGAGAGACAGACAGACAGACAGACACAGACAGAGGGAGAAGCAGGCCTCGATCCCGAGTCTCCAGGATCAGGCCCTGGGCTGAAGCCTGCGCTAAACCGCTGGGCCACCGGGGCTGCCCCCAGAACCACTTTTGGAGAAAGAACTCTCCCCCTACAAGGAAAATGGGGTGGCCCGGCGCGGAAGGGGCTCCAGCGCTCTACCTTGTCATGCAACTCCCACAGCAGCCGGCTGGCGGCGGTCCCAGGCGTCGGTCTGGGCAGCCCCAGAGCTTGGAGGGTAAGGACCAGTTCCTGGACCATGCCAGCTCCCTCCTCGGCCTCTTCCCCACAGGGCTGTGCGGGGCTGGGGTCCAGCCGGGGGTAGAGACGGAGGAGGCGGGCAGCCTGGAGTTCAGAGCAGAGAAAGCCTAAAAGGGAAAGGGAGCGGTGCAATCAAGGAGGGCCACCACCTCACCCACCAGGGCCAAAAAGCTCCACTTTAAAACCTCCAGGCCCAGGGGCTCCTGGGTGGCTCAGTGGTCGAGCATCTGCCTTTCGCTCAGGTCGTGATCCTTGGGTGCTGGCACCCAGTCCCGTATCAGACTCCCAGCTGGGGGGAGCCTGCTTCTCCTCTCCCTAAATCTCTGTCTCTCTTTGTGTGTCTCTCATGAATAAATAAATAAAACCTTTAAACAAAACAAAACACTCCAGGCTTCAAACACTCCGCCCTTCTAGTTCCGCCCCAACCCCGGCTCTACCTCCAAGACGAGCCCCACCCACTTTGAGACGCAGAGTCCCGCCCGGACTTCGAACCCCGCGCACAGGGGAACCACCTGGCTGGCTACGGCAAGTGCGACCCGCTGGAACCTCAAGACGCTCCCCGCAAAATTCTAACCCCCACGGCCCGGCCCACGCCCCCGGGGGGCGCGAGCCCCGGCTCCCCTTGGCGGTGCGGAGCCCGCCCCGCCCCTCCGGGGGCCGAGCCTCGCCCACTTCCGCATCCCCGGCTCACGCAGCAGGCGCAGGCTCGCGCCGGGCTCCCGCAGCGCGGCCACGCCGTCTCCGCCGCCGAGCGCGCGGTCCGGGCAGCGCAGCTCCCGCAGCAGGCCGGCCAACTGTCGCAGGAATTCCTCCTCGGCGCCGGGGCCTGCAGGCGGCGGGAGAGGTCAGGGCGCGGCGGCGGCCCCCGCGGCCCCATCCCCGCCGGGCCGGGCGCTGCCCACGTACCGTCGCCGGCCCTCAGCGCCTCCGCGCTCTCCCCTCGCTCCCGCTCCAGGGCGCCCAGCGTCGCCAGCTCCGCCGCCAGCCGCGCGCACAGCGCCCTGAAGTCCGGACACGAGGTGCCCCGCGACGTCGCCCCCGAGAAGCCCTCATACCTGTGGCGGGGCCGAGGCAGCGGGCGGGGATTGGGAAGGCGAAGAGGGGTTGCGGAGGGCAAACCTGTCCCTTCCTGCCCCCCGCCCGCGCCCCCAGCCGCGCCCCCAGCCGCACCCCGTCCCCCTCACCCCAAGGCCTGCAGGTCCCGGGCCACGGCGGCCCCCTCCCGCGCTTCCGCCTCCGCCCCCTCCATGGAAGCGTCCTGTCCGCCGGGCGCGCGTCCCCTGCCGGCCGGCGAGAGGCCCCGCCCCAGCGGCGGCGTGCGCAGTCGGCCCCGCGGCGCTCCGACCAATCAGCGCCCGAGGGCCTTCGGCGTTCTGATTGGCGCAGGAGGCGGCGGAGCCCGCCCCCAGGTCCGCGGGCGCGGGGAGCTCGGGCGCCGCGGTTCGGGTGACCGGGTCCAGACGGTGGAAAAGCCGCAGCCCCGTGAATCCAGCGCGTGCCTTCAGGATCCCAGCTGTCGCGACAGGCCAGCGGGTGGCGCTGTTGCTGCGACTTAGAAACCGGATTTCTTTTTCTCAGGCTCCCTCTGCTCTTGAAGCGCCCTAGACCGAGTGTCGTTCTCCCAACTCCGCTCCGAACGCAGAAACTTGTTTCCTCCTTTCCAGCTTGGGGTTGGCATTACGTCAGGGACTCAGGAAGGCCGGCTCACCCCCTCCCACCCACCCACCCCCGACACAGCTACGCCCTCCGCCTCCATCCGTCACGAAGCACCAGTCGGGCTTTCACCCCTCTTTCCCCGGAGGCCTTGGAGAGGGAGCAGGGCCAACATGCTGTCGTGATTAGGAGATTGCACCCTGGGGGGTAGGACTCGACTCCACTCCCCATCTCTGGGTCCCCGCCAAATAGCTTCCTATCTGGATGACGGGGATAAAACTGCACTTTTAAGGATTGTGAGGATGAGAGTCATACATGTGTGTGTTCCGTAGGCATACAGGGGTACTCAATAACTAACATATATTGAGCATTTTGTGTGTGCTACTAGGTTAAGTATCTTAGATCCGTTTTAGGGAGGAGAGCCGAAATTCAGACACGATAAATCAGAGTGAATGTGGGGTGGTGCCCAGACTCAAATTCAGATCTGATTTGCAAAATCCATGCTTTTAATTGCTTAACCTGTTACTACTGTTAGTGTTGCTGCTGTTTTTGTTGCAGTTTGTTAAAATTATAATCCTCCATGGTGCTGCCTACCCCAAGGCTGGGGTACTCAGGACCATTATTTGTTGACCTTAATAAAATGTTAAAAATTGCTCAAGTCAAAACCTTGGAGTCACGGCCTTGATTCCTTTTTTTTTTTTTTTCAAAGTCTTTATCTAATTATGTGGATTCTAGCTTCAAAATAGATCCATTGTCTTGCCCACTTCTCTCTGCCTCCACTGTTCTCACCCTGATCTCATGTGCCCTTGTCTCCTCCTGGACCATCACAGCAGCCTCCTCCCTGCTCCCTACCCACCCATCCCCGTGTCTGTTCCCCACAGGCAACCAGAGGGAATGGGTAAACCGCCTGAGTCAGGTCACAGCCCTCCCACGCATGGAGCTGTCCCATATCTCCACCTCACTCAGGATGACCACTAAAATCCATGCAATGGTTTGCAAGGACCCACAGATCTGCCCTGTCACCTCTCTGCCCTCAGTGTCTTCCTCCTGGCTTCCTCTCCTCCAGACACTCACACCCTTGAGGTCCCTCAGAATTACCTAGACATGCTTCTCCCTGAGGGCCTTGACTGGACAGTTCCCCTTTACCTAGAATGTTCCTCCCGCAGACATCCACGGGACCCCCCTCGCCTCCTTTAAGGCTTTACTCAAATGCCAGCTGCTCAGTGAGGCCTCCTGGAGACCCTGGCTAAAAATGACTATCCCACATCTCTACTCGGCTTTTCCCTACAGTACATATCCTTTCTAACGTGTCCTTTATTGTCTCCTTCCCTATAAAGTTCATAAGGTGTTCGTGGGAAAGGATTTTTGTCTGCTCTGTTCACTGCTTTATCCTGGGTGCTGAGAACAGGGCCTGGCATATAACGGGTGTTCAGTAAGTGTACTTGAGTGACTGAATGTATAAAACTCAGCTGGAGGGTCTGCTTAGGACTAAAGGATCTGAAGGAGAAAGGACGAATTGGGTAGCAGACTGTTCTGCTGATTCAGGAAGGTGAGGGGATGGGGAGCACCAATGTGAATAAAGGACACAGGCTGAGACTTTGTCACAGACATTTCTTGGAGCGAATATCTCATGCCCCCTCCCCAATGACAAGGCTGGGTCTTTGGCCCCCATCCTCCCCCGCCACGGCAGCCTGCACTGACGATAACAATATTGAGGTCACAGACTGGCTTGGAATCAAGATCAGGAAGATAAATATCGGGGTGCCTCCCCCAAGTCTGGGGGCCAAGCATCCAATCTGAGGGGCAAGCAGCTGGGAAATTGGGCCTGGGGGCTCCAGGGTCTGAGGTCTTCCTGGCTCCCAGGGTCAGCCCTCCATGCACCCCTGATTTGGGGGTGATGAAGAGTAATCATGGATCAGAGGTGGGTATCAGCAGGGAGCAGGACTGGGGGACCTGGGAGAGGCGGTGCTGGGAGGTGGGGGCCAGGGGAACCTTCCCCAGCTCCCACCGCTTCATCCGCAGATCCCACAGCACCTTACAGCACTCTGGTCCCCGTCCCACCCCTCCCCAAAACGAGGTAGGTTAAGAATGGAGCTTCCCCCCGCCCACCACGGAAGGGAGGAGACCGAGGCACAGAGAGGGGGATGGGGACCCAGGCTGCCCCAGCCCCCTGGTCCCTCCGCCCTCAGCTCTGGTGGGTCTGACAGTGACGAGAGCTGGGCAGAGTGGGGATGGGAGGGACATCCCCCTTTTCTCTCACCCATCCCAGGGTCTGGTTGGGAGAGCGGAATCTCACAGGTTCCGGATGTAATAAATAGTTAATAATTTAAAGGAAGTGACAGAAGGATCTAGCCCTCTGACCCCCTTGACCTATCCCTTGAACCCCTACAAGGCCATCCAAGTCTGGGTAATGAAGAAAGGTAAGTGCACATTTCCAGATGCTTGGGACCACGTGCAGGTCCCAAACCCATACAGCATTGAGATTGTCTTTCTCCAAGACCTTGGTCCTCCACTTCAGGCCATCAGATCTGAGGTACCCTGAAAGTCCCCTTCCACTCAGGGAAAAGAGACTGTGACATCACAGAGGGCCATGAAACCGGCTTTCAAACCCCCAACTCTGAGATGGAAGGGAAGGGGTTAACAGGGCCGAACATAAAAAGCTTGGACTAGGAGGCTGGGGCTTAAGGGCTGGGGGCAGAGTGCAAGAGGGGCGTGTGTGCGTGTGCGTGTGCGTGTGCGTGTGTAGAGCCACAACTAGCCTAAAAAGTGACTCCGTGCACAGTGCAGCCAGCAGAGTGCGGTGTGAATTCCAGCCACACCCCCACCTTGACTGTGTGTCTTTGCTTAGTAAACAGCCTGCACAATCATCTAGGACAGTGCCAGGTCCTAGAAATGGGAATGGGGGAGATCTGGGGTGGTCCTGGAATCCAGAAACATGAGCTCAAAATGATGTTTTTTTGTTTTTGTACCCAAGTAAAAAAACCCGAGTAATTTTGTGAGATGCTTGGGGCTTGAATTCAGAGGTCTGGGACCTTGGGGTTTCAGGGGCTTATGGCCAGTAGGATTCAAGGGCAGCAAGTCTCCGGGAATATCAGCCTTAAGAGATTTAAGTCCAAAGAATCTGGGATCTGAAGGTGCTACGGTCCTGGAGCACCTCAGTTCCATCTTGTATGGAGGGGTCAAGGTCTTGAGTCAGGGACAATCCCAATGTTGTATAGGCTTAAGCCCTGAATTTGAGGGACCGATGGCACCTTGGGGTCTTGGAACTGGTACTCCCAAAGTACTTCCGGGTCATTCAGGAGCTGGGGGCCGAGGGATGAGAGGTCTGGGTTGCGATGAACATCCCATCACCTGGGAGCTGGGCTTCCAGCTTTTATAGGGGATTGGGGATCTATGGGTACAAAGCAGCCAAAGATTCCAGGCCATTCTGGGGCTTGAAATCCCAAGTCTAAGGGGTTTTGAAAGAGGGTTATCTGAGGACTTGAGACCAGTGTCTTGGGCCCTAATATATTGGTGGCCTTCAGTACTACATCTGGGAGTACTAGGCACCTCAGAGTCCTATATGTGAGATCCAAAGTTCTGGGAACACTGGTCTGGGGTGGGTGGGTCTACACTCCTTGGCTCCCAGAGCATCTTGGGAGTGTGACATCTAGAGTTTGGTTGAGGGGCATAGATGGAGGCTCTGAGATGGGTCTCCCAAGTCATTTTGGTCAGAGAACATCTGTTTGGGCATACCTAAGCACTCAGGGCATCTCAAGAGGGTTTGGTGCCTCAGGGTCCTGGGGGCTACAAGAATACCGCAGATATGGGTGCCCCAAGTTTTAGGTGAGCATTCAGGGACCATTTGGGGTGAATCTGGGTTCTATGGTCTCAAGATCTAACTGTATGCAGGAATAATTGTATGCAGGCAGGGTCAGGTATTGGCAACTCCTGACTAACTCCGGAACTGTAGGCTGAGGGTTCATGGTGTCAGGCATGACCGGGTCTGGGTTGGTTATTTGAACAGGGAGTCAGGGGGCCCGGCCCTGTGACTCTCAGGGATACATGTGCTCCCCGGCCTGCCTGAGGTGAAGAGTCTGGGGATGCCTGGAGTCTCCTTAGTCTAGGTCAGGGAGGGGGTGGTGGCAGGATGGGGATGCCAGAACTCAGGATGCCTGGAACCTCTTGGACAGACATCCCAATGAAGCTGGGTCTGGGGTCTCTCAGTCCTAGATTTGGGGTCCAGGTTTCAGGTCTGGGGTCTCTCAATCCAAACTCAAGCTCCAAGTTCCGGGTGTGCCTAGGTTTGGGTTTGGGGGTCCGAGCGGAGTCCAGGGTCCTGGACCCTCAATTTGGGGTCCTCGGTGCAGCTACCGGACCCACCAGGCAGTCCTCACCGCGCCGCCTCCTCGTGGCGGCCCCCGCAGCCTGCGCAGCCGCACCGCGCTGCGACCCAGTGGCAGGCGCGCAGGGGCGCATAGCAGCAGAGGCAGGGCACGGCCAGGGAGAGCGCGGCCAGCGCGGCCCAGCGCGCGGCGGGGCGCGGGTGGCCCGGCTCGCAGGCGCACGGGTCCGAGAAGTCGCCCTCGGCGTCCGACAGGCAGTGGTAGAGCAAGCTCTCGGCGCACCACAGGCAGCTGAGCCGGCGCACCAGCAGGCGACCCGGGTCCGGGGCCTCGGCGCAGCGGCCCCCGCGCCCGTCGGCCCGGCGGCGGAAGAGCGCCCGGCAGTGCACGCAGCGCGCCGCCTCCTCCGCCTCGGGGGAGGCCTTGGCGGGCGCAGGGGCAGGCCCGGGGCCCGGGGGTGGGCGAGCGGGGGGCGCTGGGGGCGCAGCCTCGGCGAGAGGGGCGGGTAGCGCAGCGGGGGGCCCCAGCGCTGCGCCCCTCAACGCGCCGGTCTTGGCGAAGCGCACGACGCAGGTGGACAGGGCGAGGGGCGCGGGCGGCCCGGCGCGCCGGTAATCCTCATAGCCACGGCCGCCCCAGCCCGGGCCCCCTGCCCCGGCCAGGGGCTCTGAGGGCTCCGGAATCCCCGTGAACGGTAGGAGCGGAGGGTAGCTCTGTGGGACGAAGGGACAGGAGAACAGGTTAGCAGGGTCCATGAACCCCCACACTCCACCGCAATCCATCCCAGTCTCGGAAGGCTCGAGACCCAGCCTTCAGGCCTCGTGCATCCTAGGACGCTGTGCTGGGATCCTGAGTGCCTGCGTCTGGCACTCGGGCTTCTAAGCCCCCGGCCCACTCCTCTCCAATCCAAGAATAGACCGAAGAATCCAGGCACCAAGCCCTCTCCTTAAGGACCCGGTGATCCAGGCTCTCAGTCCTGTCCGCTCTCAAGATGCAAGAAGTCCCAGCATCCAGTACCCTCTACCCCCAAATCTGGGAGCTCTGCACCCCTTCAGGACGCAGGAGTCCAGTCCCCAAGGAGCCTTAACTCCTTTAGAGTCCATGCCCCTCCTAATGAATTAAGCAGTCTAAGGAACCCCTTCCACGAGCATGAAAAACTCCCTAATATGAAGCATTGTCCAAGTCGTCCCCCAAACCTCCTGCATTCAGAGCTCAGAACTTTCCACAATCTCCCTGAGCGCTGGAGACACGAGAAGCCCTCAACAACCCTCCGAGGAACCGGAGTCCCCAAGCACCGTCCCCACCACACCGCCCTGAATTCCAGCCAGCCAGCCTCTAGGATCTGTTTGTGGTTTCTGGCCCTTCTGGGGTCTCAGCTCTCCCCTACTTCAGGGCCCCGGCACCCTGCCCCCACTTCAACCGGAGGCCCCCCAGCCCCGACGCCCGTGGGAGGTGGGAGGTCGCACCTGCGCGGAGGAGCGGCGGCGCTGGGGGGACGTAGCCGGCCCGAAGCCAGAAGCGGACTCCACGGTGATGATAGTGGCCGCCGCGGTGGTGGGAGGCGTCTCCTGGCGGCTGTGACTGGAGGAGGACTCGCTGTCCACGTGGGACTGGGGGAGAGTGGCGGCCTCAGAGCCGGACCGGGCACAGCCGATGCCCTCACATAGACCCCCTCCCGTGGCGAGCGAGGGCTCTGCGGCCAGACAGGCCTCGGGGCAAGCCCCGGCTCTGCCACTGACTGCTTGTGTGACCTCCGGCAAGTGACCTCATCTCTTTGAGCCTCAGTTTCCTTCTCTGTAAAATGGGGATCATAATAGTGTCTATTCATAAGGATGTGGTTAGGACCCACTGTCAAGGGCATAACACAATGCCTGAAGTACAGGAAGAGCTGGAAATGGTTCTTTTTTTTTTTATTATTGGACCCCCTCTTCTCTGCTCAGCTGGCTAACCTACAGAACATCAAACTAGCTTTCTCCCTTCTCAGAAGCCCTCTGGGTGGGGGGGGGCAGGGTGAGCACCTAACTTTGGCTCAGGTCGTGATCCCCAGGTCCTGGGATGGAGTCTTGCATTGGGCTCTGCCCAGGGAGCCTGCTTCTCCCTCTGCCTATGTCTCTGCCTCTCTCATAAATTAATAAATAAAATATTAAAAAAGAAGAAGAAGAAGAAGCCCTCTCCCTTGGCCAGACAGCCACGGTCCTGACTTGTTCCCACCACCACACCTTCACTGGGGCAATTCCACCCACCAGGAAGAGGTTCCTTCCCATCCAAACCAACAGTCCTTTATACACTGAAACATCACTTCTCAGACACTTGGTTTCTTTTCTGTAACTTTGGGGGTCATTCTGATTTCATCCATTTGCTCAGTAAACATTCATTGAGCACCAACGACATGCCAGGCTCACAAAGGCCATTGTGAGGATGTAAGATGGAGCATGGAAAGTAGGGCATCCTTCTTGAGGAAGCATGAAATGTGTGGGACCTGTCTGCACGGATTTCTGTAGCCCCACCCACATCTCCCATTACCCTGAGATTCCCGCTTTTCTGCCTGGGAACCAGTTTCATTCTTCTAAGTCTCAGCAACTCCCACTGTTCCCAGCAAATGCCAAATCGCATCTGACATTATGTGCATTTATTCATTCAATAAATTTATTCAACACATATTTACTGAACACTCACTGTATACCAGGCACTGTTTTAGGCATTGGAGATGCATCAAGAAAGCAACAAAAAGATCCTTGCCCTCCTGGAGCTGGCATTCTAGCACAGGAGACAGGCAATAAACTAACAGATAAGAAAACTGTCTATATAGAAAGGAAATTAGGAAACTATCTTAGAAGATGAATAATTAGAACAGGTAGGGAGCATTGGGAGATCACAGTTTTAAACAGCTTACTCAGCAAGGGCCTCGCTGAAAGGGTGATATGTGTATAAAACCCAGAAGGGGGTGAGCCACGTGGAAATCTGAGGAAGAGTATTCCAAAACAGAAGGAAGGCCAGTGCAAAAGCCCTGAGATAGAACCGCCTGCCGTGTTTGAATAACAATGAGGAGGCTAGTGAGGCTGGAGCAGAGTGAGCATAAAGGAGAACAGGGGGCCAAATGGTAGGGGACCTTATATGCTTTGTCCTTTACCCTGAGTGAGATGGACCCCTGGACGGACTGAGTGGAGGGATGGCCATGATCTGACTTAGATGTCAATAGGGTCCCTCTGGCTACGTGTAGGGAACTTCCAGACAGTAGGGAGTAGGAGGAGGGGGGCAGTTGACAATAACTGAGATCCTCCAGTTGGGAGATGGGGTTGGACAGTACCAGGTTTGGAAGGGGATTCTAATCATTTTGAAAATGAAGCCAACATTTGATGATGGATTGGATGAGGAGCATAAAAAAGGAAAAACATCAAGGATGACTTCAAGGTTGCGACCCTGAGGAACTAGAAGGATGGGCTGGTCATTAATTTGTTCACTATAAAAGGTATAGCTTATCTTTTATTTTATTTTTAAATTTTCTGCCTTCCCACACTAGAATAGAAGCTCCATGAGGAGAGGGACTTTGTTTGGTTCACTGATGTATCCCCAGTGCCCAAAACACTACTTATTTGAAGGTGCTCAATAAATACTCTGGGATGAATGTGTGACCCACCACATAACAGGAAAACTAGGATAACTGGCATTAAGTTGACACCAATAGTTTGGGCCCAAATCTGTGTCCCCAGCATGTGGCGTGGTGCCTGATACACAAGAGATGCTCAAGAATGTTTGGAGAATGGAAACAGACCCCGGCCCTCCCAGCAGAGCTGCATCCTGGAGACTCACCGTCAGAGGGCAGGGAGTCTCTGCGGTGTCCTGGGAAGGGGAGGAGGAAGAGGAGGAGGAAGAGGGCGTAAGCGAGCCTGGGGCAGGGAGAGAGGCAGACAGTGAGTCCCCTGGGCCCCTGCCCCCCTCCCACCCCTCCACCCCAACCTCCAGTGCCCGCCATCCAGCCACTTACCTCGCCCCAGCGCAGCCAGTGCGGCCAGCAGGCTCTTCTGGAACTCATCAGCCTCTGCAGGGCTCTGGAACGTCAGTCCAAACTTGCAGTCACCCAGGCTCCAGTGATGAAAAATGGGGTTCACTTTGTTGTAAACCAAGCCTGGCCTCAGGGTACACTCCAAGGTGGTCTGAGGGGGCAGGAGGGGGACCAGATCAGACACCCCCTACCAGCCATGCTGGTGACTTCCTGTCAACCCTCAGCATATCTGCATACCTCAGTATCCCACAAACTTCATTTGTCAATCCTAGGTGTACCCCTGAACCCTGGTCAACACCCAACACCACTCCCCAATTTTATTGAGCACACCTCTGATACCCTCAATATTTCCCCCAAGCCCCTTGATCCCTATATTTTCCATATCCCCTTCTGATAACCCAGTGTCCCTCCTTTAGGCTCGATATTCCCCGAACTCTCCTGAACAGCTCAAAATATTACAGCTAATCTCCTTCTGATGCCCCAATAACGTCCCAAAATGCTACCCCCAAATTCTTATCAAACTCCCATAGATTTTCCCCTCGGATGCTGGTGAACACCCTAGATGTTTCCTTACATCCTCGCCCAATATCACCATGTATCTATCTTCACACCATTTCAAACCCCCCTACATTGTTCCTTCTGACCCCTGCTCTGAGATGCAACCCGACCCCCAAGCCTTTTCAAACAATCCAAGTCTTTCTACTACATCCCTAGCTGAAGCCTCAACGTTGTCCTTCTACATCATTCCAGGCAGCCCCGAATATTCCTGCTGAACCCACATTCAGGATTATAAACTCTATCTGACACATCCAGACGGTCCCTCACCAAATGCCTCCATATATACTTAGAGCAGACAGGGGCTGGTGGTGTAGGGCCTCCTGGTAAGGATCTCTGAGCAAGATGGAGCCACAGAAGGGTTCTGAGCAGAGGGAGGGACATGATCTGAGTCAGGTGTTAGCAGGGCCCCTGTGGAACAGACTGAGGTTGGGGGCGACAGGGCAGGAGCATGGCAAGACCTGTGAGGAGGCTGCTGTGACAGTCGTCCATCAGGCCACGGCAGTGGACAGGAGCTGCTTGATACCCCAGATATTCTCAAAGCTCCCAGTTGTTCTCCGTATCACAGATAGACACTTCCAAACTACATCCCACACCCCGGATCGACTGTGGGCTGGGAGATGACCTGACCTCATCTCTGCACTCCCAGCCCCATCCCCTTACTTCCCCACGCCCCCACCCTACCCCCACGCCCCAGGGTGGCTCACTTTCTGGTCCCGAAGGCGCTCCCCGTGGATGACGTAGTGCCCCTGGCGGGCCCCCCCCTCGGGCCTGGCCCCTCGGACCCGACAAACGCTCACCTGGCTGAGGCCCCCGCCCCCCACAGGCAGCCAGCCCCCACTGGAGTCATCTCGGGCCATCACCACGGCTCGGACCTGAACCATGTACCTGGAGGGGGTGGGGAGACAGGCACAACACAGTCAGTGGGCTCCGGCCCTGCTCTCCTGTCCAGTGTGCCCTCAACCCTCATCTCCCCTCTTCATCCCTCACATCTGGCTCCGCTGCGGCCTCGGGCACCGGTTTTCACTTTCTCTTACATACCTGCCTGCTCCCTCATGCCCACCTTCTTCCAGCATGGCTTCTTTCTTCCTCATGCCACCTCTTTTCTCCCGTGCCTACCTTCTCCACATCTACCTCTCCTCTCCATACCCACCTTCGTCTCTTTCCCCATCGTTCCCATCCTGACCCCCACAGCCTCGGTTTTCCACTTCCCTTCCCCCTCCGGCTCTTCCCCTACCAACCCAGTCTCCTTCCCTTCCCTCAGCACATTCCCACAGCCCCACCCATCGTTCCCCCTCACAGCTGGGTGCCTGCGCATATGTATTTTCTTAGAGCCCATCAACTCAGCTCCAGATCCCCCCTACACTGCCTCCACACTCTGCCGCCCAGGCCACTGGCTGGGTGAGAAACCCAGGCTCTCTTCCCCCCACCCCTTCCCGGATTTATGAATGAGACCGGATGCAAAGCTCACTGAGTCACCCAGCAACGGGAGATGGGCAGGGAGCAGGGAGAGAACCAGAAATGGCCAGAGAGAGGCCGAAAGGGAGATGGAGGCAGAAGAAGCCAGAAACGGGCGACCGAGACACAACCAGAGCGCATTTCATTCACAAAAATCAAGCCTGCTCCCTCAGGTCCCAGCCGAGGGAAGGCAAGGGGGAGAGATTGAGGGGAGGTGGAGAATTGATCCCTCCTCCTCCCCCTCCCCGCCCCAGCATCCTTCAGAACCATCTTACCCCGCCCCCCAGCTCAGGGGACGTAGCCCTCCGCCCAGTAACCGGGATCAGCGTCCAGCCCCTCACTACCACCTAGCGCAGGGACCCTGGCGTCTCAACCTTAGGGACCCAAGCAACGAGCTCTAGCCCCTTCCCCCCACCTGCCGGCTGCCGGTTTTCCCCGGCCCATCGGGAGGGGAAGGGGCGGTCGCAGCGCCCCCAGCCCCCTTTTCTCAATGGGATGGGATTTTGTGAATGAGCAGTCACGTGATGCTGCTTCCTTTGTCCGCCCGCCTCCCCCGACAACAGGTGAAGCAGAGAAAGAGGGCAGGGGTCCCCCAGGGCCTAGCTGGGATGGGACGCCGGGATTTCTGGATGCCCTATGCTCCCCGCACATCTGTTTCCCTGGGGGAGTGGTCCCCAGAGTTCCTCGGTGGTGGGGGTCCAGTTCGGAATTTTATGAATGGGGCGTCCTCGGAGAAGTGCAGGCCCCCAAATGGAGACTGGTACCCCAAATGGCTGCCGCGCAGTTTGGGGGCCCCCAACCCCTTGTCCTTCCAGCCGCGGTCTGGGGGGCGCCCCGGTGGGCAGGAGGCGCAGCGCGGTCCTGGCCGCCCCCTCACCGGGACCGGCAGTCTGTCAGCCCCCGCCCCCTCGCCCCCCTTGGCACCTGCCTGGGAGGCTCCGGCCGGGCTCCGAGCGGCGGCGACTTGGCCTCCTCCTCCTCCTCCTCCTCCTCCTGTTCGCTCCGGCTCCCTCGCTGGCTCCGGCGGCGCTAGAGACGGGCACCGGGAGCCGGGGCGACGGGGGAGGGAGGGGGAACCTGGAAGATGGGTGAGGGGGAGGGGGCGGCTTGGGGGAGGGGTAAGCGCGAGGCGGGCGTACTTGCCCGCTGGGTCCTAGAGCCCGTCACGGCTCCAGAAAACAGCCCCCCAGCCCCCATTTTCTCAGGATCCAGAAAGGATCCCCCACTTTCCCACCCATCCGCGTCATTGATCCCTGAGGACGCGGGTAAGGGTTCGGGACATGGCCTGGTGTCAGGGTTCTAAAGAGGTGAGGGTCTTCGCTTTGGGTCCTAAATGGGAGGAGCTGAGTACCTGGTAGGGTTCGAAAAGGGGTGGGGCGAGAAGGGAGCCTTCGCAAGGGGGCGGGGTCGGAGGGCCTGGGGAAGGAGAGTCGGCGAGGACGCCGAGGGCGCGGACTAGCGCTTGCGTCATGGAAGGGGCGGACCCACGGTGGATGGGCCTTCTAGGCAGGCCCGAGGAAGGAGAGGGTCTTGGGAAGAGATGTTGTGGGGTCTTAAAAGGTTGGAGTTTAGAAGTAAATTGTTTTATGGGCGGGGCACATGAGAGGGCCGAAGGGAGGAGCTACGCGGCAGCGTTCGTAACGGGCGGAGCTTCGGGGGAGGGGCTAACGACGGGGGGCGGAGCATCTTACAAAGGGGAGGGGCTAAGGGTAACATTCTGAAGGGGTGGGGCCTGGGCCTACAAGGCCTTCGGGGAGGGGAAGAGGACGTCGGAATATTTCAAAGGAAGATCCAGGTTCGTGAGGAGCCCGCCTCTCGTAGGCTCACGGGAGGGCGGGGCCTCGAGCCCGGGGGCGGGGCCTAGGTCTCAGGGTCCGCCCCCGCTGTCTCGCCCACTTGCCACCACCCGCTCCACCCCCGTTCTTTTCGGTTATTTTCTGCTACGGCCGTTCCCCGCCCTGCCCTGGGCCCAGGGGGCCGCGGTCTGAACTTTGGTCTGCTGGAGGAGTCGGTGAGTGGGAACCCCTGGGCGAAGGCGGGGCCAGGGCGGAGTTGGAGAAAGGGGTGGGGCCTGAGTGTTGAAGCCGGCCGTAGACCAGGAGCCGGCCAAGTTTAGGAGTGAGGCCCGAAGATCTGCCGCTGCCTGGGAAGAGGGCGAGACTCAAATGATCGACACAGAGAGAGGGACCGTTGGGTTGGAGGTGAGGACTGAAGGGTTAGCCAGGCAAGAATACCGCGGAGGCGGGGCTAGATCTGGGGCGGGCGGTGAGGCCCGGTACCGACAATCGGGGGCGGGACCGGACAGCAGGGGCGGGGCCTGGGCCTCCCGAGCCAGGTTGGAAGATCCCGAAAGAGGTTGGAACCCCTTGCGAGCCTTATAGGTTACTGCGCACAGTCATCATGAGTGATGTGGCCCGAGTGACAGGAAAGCGGGCAAGCCTTGCGTCTTGGGGCCTCAAGACCGGGGTTATGGTCAAAGTGTAGGGACAAGCCGGGGTGGGGTGAGGGGACAGGGACCAACTTAGTACACTGAGGATGGATGTAGCCCAAGTGTCTGAACAGCAGCTGAATGGGGCCATGAGGAAGGAGGCATGACAGTCGCTGAATGGGGCCGTGGGGAAGAACGCTTGAGCCTCAAGAGTCAGGGAACAGGAATGCGGCTAGCGACTAGTGCCTCAGTGGATCCTGGAACACGGGGGCGGGGCGGGGTGGACCGGTAGGACCAAATACCGCCAGCCTCGTGGAGTCCCCATAGTTTAGGCAGGTTGACTGGCCCAAGTTTTTCTGACCACAGTCCCCGACCTCCGTCAGAAATGGGGAACGTGCAGTCGGAGCCGTCCGCGGGCGGGGGCTCCCGAAAAGAGCAGGCCTCGGACCGCTCCTCTGACTCCCGCCGGACGTCCCTGGTGGAGCCCGAGGTGACCCCCTCCTCCCCGGCCATGCGCCTGGCTCGCGGGCTGGGCGTCTGGTTCCCTGGCAGCTCCGCGCACCCGGGAATCCTGGTACCCCCGGAGCCCCAGGCCTTAGAACTGCCCTCGCCAGCGACGCCCCTTTCAGAGGCGGCGGCTGCGGCCGCGATCTCCACACAACCCCCGCCCCCCGTGGGGCCCCTGCTGCCCGTGCCGTCTAAGTGGCGAAAACCCATGGGCACTCCGGTGCCTCGGGTCCGCGGTCTGCTGGAGGCGAGCCACCGCGGCCAGGGCGATCCTCCGAGCCTCCGTCCGCTGCCGCCGCCGCCCCGGCAACTACCTGGAGAGGACCCCAACTCCGTCCCGAGGGCCCCATCCCCTACTCCGCCACGCTTGGAGCCGCGGAAGCCGCCACCACCGCCACCTTCCGACCGGCAGCCCCGGGACCACAGAATCACTCCTGCTCTGGCCACAGGCGCCACACCCCCCGCCGAAAGCCAGGTCGGGTACTGCGGCCAGGGCCACACGGCCGGCGGAGCCCGCAGGGGGGCGCTTCCCCAAGCGGGCGAGCGCGAGACGGCCCGGCCTGCGGTGTCCGAGTCCGGCCTGAGCCTGCTGTGCAAAGTCACCTTCAAGTCGGGGCCCATGTTGGCCCCTCCCGCAGCCTCGAGTTCCTTGGCGGCCAAAGCCTCGCTGGGGAGCGGCGGCGGACTCTCCGCTGCCGCCCCGGGTTCCATCTCTTACGCTGAGGTCCTGAAGCAGGGGCCCCTGGCTCCCGGGGCCGCGCGACCCTCGGGCGAGGTCCCTCGGGGGACTCAGGAAGCAGAAGGCGGTGATGGAGACGGCGAGGGGTGTTCTGGTCCCCCCTCGGCGCCTGTGTCCCACGCCAGGGCCCTACCGCCGCCACCCTACACCACTTTTCCAGGCTCGAAGCCCAAATTTGACTGGGTGAGCCCTCCCGACGTCCCTGAACGCCACTTCCGCTTCAACGGAGCCGGTGGCGGTGTCGGGGTGCCCCGACGGCGCGCGGCAGCGCTCTCAGGGCCCTGGGGCTCCCCACCGCGTCCGCCAGGACACGCGCACCCAGCCCCCGGGCCCCGGAGGCCCGCACCGGCCCTCCTGGCGCCGCCTATGTTCATCTTCCCGGCGCCCACCAATGGCGAGCCTGTGAGCCCCGGGCCCGGACGCCCACTGGAGTTGCCGCCCCCGCCGCCGCCCCCGCCGCCGCCCCCGCCGCCGCCCGCGCCGCCGCCGACTCCGCAGCCGCGGGTGCTCCAGTCCACGCCGCTCCCCGTGGCCCGCCCTCCCACCCCACACCCGGGCCACTTGAAGTCGGTTCTGGCCCCCGCCCCAGCTCCCACTCTGCCCCTTGCCTTGGCTGCCGACCAGGCCCCCGCCCCGGCCCCGGCCCCGGCCATGGCCCCGGCCCCGACCCCGGCTCTGGCTCCCGCCCCGGCCCCCGCCCCGGCTCCGGCTCCGGCCCAGGCCCCCGCCCCGGCCCAGGCCCCCGCCCCGGCCCCGGCCCCGGCCCCTGCCCAGGCCCCGGCCCAGGCCTCGGGCCTGGCTCCGGCCCCGGCCCCCGCCCCCACCCCGGCTCCAGCTCCCACCACAGCGGAGCCACCGCTGCCTGCGCCCGCGCCCGCACCCATCAAGGCCCGCACGCGCAGAAGCAAGGGCCCCCGCGCAGCCCGAGGCGCGACCCGTGAGGACTGCGCACCCGGAGACGGTCCTCGGGAACGTACTGCAGCTACCGTGACTGACAGTGGCGATGGAGGGGGTGGTGGCGGCGGGGCTCCTCCAGTGGGGATGGTTAATGCGGGCACCAGGCGCCACTGGCCGCCCTTCCAGGTGCTTAACTCTTGTCCCTGCAAGTGTTACTGCCGCCACCAGCCACGTCATCGCCGTCTACCACGCAACGTGTCTGCCTGGTGAGGGGAGGTCCTCGGGAGTAGGGAGGGGAGGGTATACCCCTGCAAGTCTTGAACCCGACCTTCCCGGGTAGAGTCCCATTCAGCCCTTGGGTGTCCTGACCCCAGCTGACCCTCGACCATTTCCTTGGCTGTATCTCAAACCCAGCTGAGCTCCAATCCTTCAGGATCAAGAGAAAACCCTGACCAGGGACAGGGAACACCCTGGTCCAGCCTCTTGGTATATAGATCTCCAAGCTGACTCCTGACCCTGTGACCTTCTGGAGTCATCAGGGAAGCTGGTACCAGCTGGCCTGACACTATTCACAGCCTTAACCCTGTCCCTGAGGGCACCAAGGACCACATCCCATGCTTTTCAGGGACAGGAGTAGAGGAGATGAACACATACCTCCAACAAAGTCCCTGGCCTAGCCCTTTACACTCCTGACCCCTCCAGCCTTCTCTGACTCTGGATCCCAGAGCTTTGGCAGCCAGAGGCCACTGATGCAACAGTCCCTGTGCAGCAGAGGCTATACCTGAGTCCTCAGATCCAGAGAAGATAGTGCACCCTTCAGTTACACCCTCTCCCCTGTATCTACACACAAGCACGTGCACACATAGAAATCTCAATCTGGTCACCAGGTTCCATCTGACCTTGGCTCCCAGATTCTGAATCACTAGGAGACCCTCTGCTCTGGGCTCCTCGGGGGCTCAATAGGGGTGGGGGTAAGGGGAGTACAGGACACAGACCCCACCAACCCTTAGCCCCCTTTCCTAAATGTAAGGGGGTACAGCCCTGCCCTAGGCTGCCTCTGTGATATCTACACGTGGCCCCTCATATAGATTGGGAAGCCGACACCTAGATGGGGTAAGGGCTCAGCCACTCGGCCAAGTCCAGCTGATTCTACCCTCCCCCTAGGCTGAGCACGCCCACCAACCACCTGAGTGAGCCACCCTGGGTTGCCACCATCAAGCTGGCTGGCTCCCTGGTGGCCGGGCTGGAGCACTACGACTTGCAGGCCACCCATTCCAACTGAGTGCAGTCTGCTCAGCGCCCTCTGCCTCCCCCTTGACAATAAAATAACCATCCAGATGTCTACCGGTTAGTCACTTGCTTAGGGTTGAATGGAGGGGGTGGGCTAGGGCAGAGGTCTCCATGAAAGCACTTCTTGGATACAGTTAAGGAGGCTGGACCCAGAAGAGCGTAACAGAGGTCCCATTTATTCAGTACCTGGACTGACAGGCCCAGGGGTGAGTCTCATTACCCTTAGTAACGTCAGCCCAAATGCTGAGCCAAGCTGACGCCAAGCTGAGCTGTTAGCACAGATCCTTCTGGGGAGCAGGGGTGATCATTCCTTCTACAACAGATGTGGAAACGGACCCTGGAAGACTTGGTTGAAAATCCCACATCCCACAAATGGCTCAGCCAGATCTGGACTCTGCCTTAAATACCTTCTGGAGAACTTCAAGGCAGGAAGCACAAGCGGGGGGTGGTGCAGGAGAGTGGAAGTTACAGCACTGTCTCAGGAAGGCTGGGAATCAGGGCAAGACCATGCCAGGGCCCACAACTCCCGTTCCAGAGGTCTCAAACTGGTAGCCCACAGAACCACAGGGTTCCATTTCACATGTCATTTAATAAACGTTTAATTGCAAACATTTTAATTGTGATGCTTTACCCCCTTCACTGAAAAACTCGTGCCTTGGCCTGGCCCTCCTGTGTGCGTCCATACCTCCAACAGTCCCTCTACCTGGAACCTGTGCTCTCCTGCATCTGGGGCCCCGCAATGGGCAGCCATTTGAGAGCTTGAGCAGTGGCCACTGGATGGAAGCTGACCCAATAGAGGGTTATCTCAGACCCCAGAGGGCTCTCAACTGTCTAAGTTCTTCAGAGATAAGGAACTTGTCTCCCCACCATTCCACCCGGGGAGACAAGGGCCTAGAAGAGAGAATGTCAATCCACCTTTATTGGAGGAAGCCCTGCACTGCCACTGCTTTAAATACTGCAAGCCCTGCCCCACCCCTGGGCCTGGTGGACTCAGACGATCATCTCCAGCTGCCGGGCATACTCGATGACTTGTTTGGCCAGTTCCGTGGAGGGGATGGTGGTGTCTTCTGGCTTCTGCTGCTGGCTGGCAAAGCTGTAGTAGTTGTTGAGGCCCAGAACCCACCCTCGCTGCAGAAAGGGAAGGATGACAGATGGGTGGGGTGATCACATAGGCTCCCATCCCACCCTGTAGAACCAGCGCTTGCCCATGCGGGCCCTGCCTCACGTTCCTCACCAACCCTACTTTACCCACACAATTCTGGACAAGTACCTTCACCTCTCTGAGCCTCAGTTTCTTCATGTTTGAGACAAGAACTCTAATCACACACCTCTCTAGGTCTGCTGTGAGGATTCAGTGAGTCAACACCTCTAAATGAGGTGAGAAGAGTTTGGCCCAGAGTAAATGATCACTAAATATCAGCTGTGCCCATAGCTCAAGTTCAATTTCACTTCTTCTAGTCTGGTCTTGACCCTCCTCAGTCACCGGGGTCATTATACCCCATGCCCCAGCATCTCCAGAGGCACTACTCCTGCATAAACACCCCAGGTCAAATGAGGCAAAATCTCATGGAGAAAAGCTGCAACCTCTGAGGAATCCTTGAAGGACAACAGCTCAACAGGTACTGAGCATCAGCGTCCATCTCCACCTCATGCCAGGTGCTGCGCTAAGCTCATCTCACATGTTAAATTCTAGTCCCACTCTACACATCAGGAAACTGAAGTTCAGAGAAGCTCAGCAACCCGCCTGAGGTCACACAGCTGGATTTAAATGTGCAGTCTTGCTCCAGCGTTCCTCCCCGCCCCCCCGCCCCCCATTGCGAGTACACCCCTGGCCCCACGGCCCATTGCCCTGCACCCCAGCCACCTTCTTGGCGTAGTCCGTCATCTTTTTGGGTGTGTTGAAGAAGAGGATCCGGGTGGCCTCAGTGAAAAGGATTTTCTCATAGGCCTTCTCGATGCACCCAGCAATCTCATCCCTGGGGAAAGATGAGACTCTCATTACTGAGCACCGACAATTCTCCAGGCCTTGTCCTCCCAGGTCTGACCTGCATGACCCTTCAGTTCAGCACCGATGGCTGGTACGTGCTTCCTGCCCTGCTTAAGGCTTGGGGAGAGAGAGTAGCTTGAGCAGAGGTGCAAACCCAGGGCCACGGCAGGGTCCAGATCTCTCAGACTACTGGGCCCAAACTCTTGAATCCCACTCCCAGCCAGGAGGACTTTAGGATGTCTGAAACCCCGCCTGGGATTCACATGAAGGGATCTCTTTACAGAACCCTTCCTCCCCTGCTACACACACAAGGGTGCTATACCCCATTTCTAGATCTGATCCTGAGAGGGTTTCTTGCCACCTGTTAAGAGGCATCAAGATCAATACTGAAGTAGAAAAAGGATCAAGTCACTGAAAATGAAGAAGGGGTTAGCTCTGGGGAAAAAAATAGTAACAGGGAGTGTGCATCCATTTCTGAGGTATTTTATCTCTTAGACCAAGTGGCAGGTATGCAGACACACATTATATATTACTCTCTATTCATTTTGGAGAGCCAAAATATTTAATTAAAAATAACTCAGGTATTATATAAGACTGACCAATCACTGACCTCTACCTCTGAAACCAATAATACATTACTTGTTAATTAACTGAATTGAAATAATTTTTCAAAGATAAAAAAATAAATAACCTAAACTCACTAAACTATCCCTTGTCACTCCCACCACATCTCTGGGCTTGGTTTTGCCATCCAAGAAATGGAAACCCATCTCAGTCTGGCACTTTGCCTCCATGAACTAGCTTTGCCACCACCCAGGCCCTTTTATTCCTCAAGGGATGTGTAAATGTCATCCACCTACGCATGCCATGTCACTTGTGCACGGCTCAACCTCTGAGCAGGACTTCATGGCCCCACTCTAAGGAAGAGGAAACTGAGGGTTGCAGAGCTTAGGTTACCTGAGGTGAGGTCATATGCCTCGTGGACTGGAGTACTTCTAAGACAGGCAGCTTGGTTCTTGTCTGCTGAGTGCTGTCTGGGTGCCAAGCCCATCCCTGGATCATATGGGCATGCAGATAAACAGCCCACAGGGAGATGAGAGCTGCTTTCCACAACCTCATGACAAGTTCCAGTTCGTAGAAAAAGAGAACTGACATGCCCAGCCTCTCCAGACCACAAGAGGCCAGAACGGGATTCAACTCAGGGCTGTCTGACTCCAGAGTCCAAGCTCCTTCTGTCCACTACAGGACCCTGCTCCCCACATACCTGATCGTGTCAAGCAGGATGTCAATGAAGAAGGTATAGCTCTCAGCAGGGATGTTGCCTTTGGCCAGGAACACCTTGTTATAGCTGCCCTCCATCAGGTACTGTAGAGGCCAGGGTGGGGCAGAAAAAGAGGATGAGGAAGAGGTAGCACAAGGGGCCTACAAGATGAGGGCTCACCACATTCCTAGTGCCTCCATAATCCCCTCTGCTAGAACACTCTTAGCATACAGTCATGCATTCCCCATGCAGACTGAGCACCTCCTCTTCCAGGAAGCCCTCCCTGATCTACACACACACACACACACACACACACACACCCTCTTTCTCCAACCTGCCCTGGCTGGTAGCTATTTATCTTATCTATTCTCCAATCACAGGTGGGAGACAGAGCTTTGCCCAACTGTGCTGCCTGCTATAACTGCTCGTTCCCATCCTCACCATAGCAAAATCCTCCCATGAGACCTCAACTTGAGGAACTACTTCCTAACCTTAGAGTACATACTAAAGCTCTTCTCTGACCATGCTCACCTTGTTCTAGAAATATTATCCTCATTGTTTACCCTCATCCACAACAGGCATGTTTCTGCTTTGGGACCTTGGACTGGCTGCTCCTCTACTTGGTTCACTCCCACCCACCCCCAGATGTCCACGTGGTTGGGTTCATCACCCCTTTCAAATCTTTCTCAAATTTCACCTTTTCAGCAAGGTTTTCCCTGACCACCCTACCAAAAAACTCACCCCTGCCCCAACTCTCCACTCTTACTTTTTCTCCATAACACTTAACATCTGACAGACCACATAGATTACTTAATCTTTTTGTTTACTGTCTGCTTTCTTATCACACCTGCCAGATCAGGGATTCTAATGTTTTGTTTGCAGTACAGTCTGAAAACCAACCACAGTATATACCATGTGGTTGGAGCTCAAGAGCTGTTGGATAAATGAGTCCCCGGGCTAAAAGACAAGTGAACCCTGCCCACTCCTCCAAGAAATCTTCCCTAATGTCTATACCTGCACCTCTCCCTTCAGATCCTTCCCCTCCCCCCATTCCCCAGCCTCACTTGCTCCAGGGACACAGGATGCTTGATGTATACATTGGTCTGGATGTCCTTGGCAGGCAGCCGCTCCAACTCTGTGTGGAACTCAGCTACCCGGTTCTGGGATAGCAGGAAGAGGAGGTTGAGGCCCAAGAGCTGGTGCATGTAGGCTGACTCGGGGAGTTGCTCCCTGTGGACCAGGGTGGGGGAATCAACATAAGGACGGCTTACGAACCTACAAGCCACCCCACTCCAGGCTCCAGGGACCCTGATGACTGCCCCATGCTATCTCCTTGGAGAGGTATTGGGTCCTGGGTTTTCAAATGAAACTGAAGCCCAGAGAGGCAAGAAGAAATCACAAGTCATATGGGCCCAAGTAGGTGACCTCACTTCAGTAAACTGACTCAGCCTCAGTTTCCCTAACTATAAAATGAGTATTACCACAGCGTCCATCTCTTAGAAGGTAGGTCAAGAGAGTAAGGGTTAAGTGAATTAAATGACTTAACCCAAGTAGAGCGATCAGAACAGTACTTGGCTCAAATAAATATTGTGTTAGCTATGATTATGATATTTAGAGTTATCACCCTCACTTTATGGAGGAAACTGAGGCATAGAGAGGTGAAGCAATTTGCCCAAGACCACATAGGAAGGGGCAAAATTAGTTTCAATCTCAGGTTTGGCTGACTTCTGATGCCAAATTCTTAATCATTAATCATTAACCTATGCAAGCACAACTGAGTTCAAAACCATTAAGTTTTATATTCAACACATATTCACTGAATCCCTGCTCTGGGCCCACCCTCGTGCTAGGCAGTACTGAAACACAGCAGTGACCAAGACCCCTCTGACTTTAGGAGGCCAATGGGAGAGACAGGGCTGGGATGGGGGGAGCACAGGCAGGAGGGGTCAGGGCTGGGACAGGGGAGGCAGAGCCAGAGAGGTCAGGGCTGATACAGCATTGGAGGCCACAGGAAAGTTTAGTAACAGTAGCTCGGTGGGAAGTGGAAATGTGGTGCAGGAACGTGGAGAGGGGAACCCACTGGAGGCCAACAGAGACTAGGCGGTAAATCCCAGGATAAGGACCTCCAGGACCACCCCTGGACTCTGTAGCCTCTGAGGACAGAACTAGGCGAAGAAGGAGGTCCTAGGTGAAGGAAGATGACTTGAGTAGCTGGAGAACCAGTGACCGAAGAAAAAAACCCAAAAATCTACCATATAACCCCCTACCCCCACCCAATCAGGGACAGGTCCCATCCTCACTTGTAATCAAAGTAGTAGCATTTGAGCTGGGCCATGTAGCGCTCGAAGGAGGGGATGTCCTTG